GGATTCTTAGAGCCTTAGCTGTCATACTGTATGCTCCCCAGATCAGGGGCCCTGCCCTGGACGCAGTAGGAGAGAGAGAAGCCCCTGACTGCTGGGAAACAGAGGAGACAGGGCCTTCCGGATCCCTCCGTGTCCAAGCTTCCCCGCTTTCTCTTCATAGCAGAACTGAACTCCATCTTAGAACGCACAGTTTAAATGACCTTATCTCCCAGTCTCCTGTGAGTATCCAATGAGGTTAGCAGAATGGGCTGGGTGGGGTTTCTTTCCCTTTCCTTTGCACTTGGGATTGAACTTGGGGCCTCACATAGACCAGACAAGCACCTTAAACTTGAGCTCCATTCCCAGATGGCTGGGTGAGGTCTGCGGGATAGTACACCAATGGCCGGTGCAGCATGAATATTCATGAAGAAGGAAGCTTCGTGCTAAGGATGGTTGGCCCAAAGCTACAGACAGCCTCCCCCCCCCCCCCCCCCGATCTCCATCATGCAGGCTGTCCTGCAACTTTAGGCCGCTCACATCTGGACCGCTTTTTAGCAAATATAAAATCCTAATTTATTTATCCTGCTCTTTTCTGGGAGCTGTAGCTCTGCACTTATCACTGTAAGATGCAGCGGCAAGCTACTTATGGCTTTCGGGAATCTTGTGGTGGGTGTGAGAGAGGGTGAGGTGGAGGAAGAGAATACTGCAGTGTGCATATGCAAGACAACCATCCTGAACTTCCACCGCCAAGGTAAGGTCTCTAAGCACTCTCTATCGACACTTTCTACCCCACAGCAGGAGTGCTGGGATTCCAGGCGCACGCCATCAGAACTAAGGTCTGGCCTTCTGTGGCTTGTGGGGAACCTAACCTTGGGTCCTCTTGCTTACAGCTGCTGTACCCACAGACCCATCTCCCTAGTCCAAGTTTACAGTCAATTGGCAAGAAGTTAAAACTTGAAGGTTGCTGTTCATCTCTGACCAAACACGATGAAATGAGACCCTCGCCCTTGTTCTCGATCTTCTAGGAGCCTCTCCGCCACCGTCCTGCTCCCTCTAAAAGCCCTCCTTTCTGGTAGAGGGGGAAGTCTCTTGCTCATACTCATCGTAGACCCTCCTCCTAGAGACTCAAGCTCTGCCCTACCAATGGGCTGCTGAAGTGATGGTAAGGGGAGCTGCCCCTAGTAGCCCCTCCAGTGCAGGGGCTTTGACAGAAACCAGCTACAGTCACGATCAAGGGCATCTCACTTCCACAGGCAGCCTTGCATCCCACTGGGAAGAAGATACGTGTACAGCGCTTGCCTAATAGGGTCGTGGTAAAGAAAAAAAAAAAAAAACCCTCTGGCTTTAACTAAGATGACCCACTCAGCTCCATTAAAGAGCAGGGTTCACCACCAAAGCACAGTCACACCTTAATTAAGTTCTTTATGAGCCCCAGCAGTCCTGGCACGAATGGATCAAAATGCTGACACAGATCCCAGGGAAATCAAAGGAGACTGGTGTCCCCATTCCACCCAGGGAAGAGAGACGCGCACTCAGAGAATATGTTTCTAAACAGAACACACTTCTGAAACCCTACACCTTCTAGGAAACGTTAGTGCTTGGCATTCCCAGATACCGTCTTGGCCACTGTGATCAAGCAAAGGTATCACACTGGGGAGCTAAACGGCACCGTCCAGCTGTTCGAATCTCAGCAAAAGAATTGCCGCTTGATCCCCATCTCTCCTGCAGGACCCCAAGGGTCTCCATTCTGCTGACTTTGGGGCGCGGAGAGTCTTGGCATTGCTAAAACGTTGATGTCCACTCTCTTTTCTCCTGTTACTTTCTTTTCCTTCTCAATTTCTCTTATCCGAAGGGAAAGCAACTGGAACAGCTGCACAAAGTGGCGGTTTGGCTTCACAGACCCTGAGTATAGGCCTTCGGGTCAGCTTCACGAACAATATGGCCACTGACAAGGCTGTAGTGGAAGGGGGCCTCTCCCTCTGTCCTCCTGGAGCTCTGACTCTGGCTTCACATACGCACAAAAGGACACAGAGGGAAGAGAAACATCTCTGTGTATGAGGAGGAGGACCCCAGTCGGGTTAGGAGGGAAACAACCTAGATCTACCTGGAGTCCTAGGAGAGGACTTCATCAGCATCACCTGAGGAGTTGGCAGCCTCAGATGATGGAGGGGGCCTGAGAGATGGCTGAGCAGTTAAGAGAATACACTGCTCTTGCAGAGGACCTGAGTTCAGTTCCTAGCACCCATGTGGGCGGTTCATACCGACCCAGATACAGACAATGTGATGCCTTTAAGCCACCACACTTTGCTTTTAGTCTTTCTTAAATACTGGGGGCATCGAAAAAATAAAACACAGAACACCCCCAAAGCAATCACGTAGCCACACTCTGGTTCCTAGGTCTTCTGTGGCTTCGGTTTCAAAAGACTGGACATTTGAAAATCACACCAGTTCCACTCATCTCCCTGGGACCCTCCCCTCCCTAAAACTAGAACACCAGGTGGGAATGTTTTCCACTTAGCTTCGAAACTACAGCCTGATGGTGATTTAAGACCCTTCCTGGCCACATTTAGAAACGCAATAGACTGTGTGGCATGTTCAACACCACACTTCCAAGTTGAGGTATAGAAAACTAGAAGTCTAGATTAGTTTTCAAGAATGCTCCCTTCTGGTGGAACATTGGACCCCTGGGTCCCTAGACCTTCTGAATTTGCCTGAGTTACCCAGAACAATGACCTGCCAGGATGGAGTCTAAAGTGGCTTATTTTTGCTTTAAAGATCCAGATGTCTGGGCTTTTTCTCTGTTGCCACTGATAAGGTTCTTTGGGGGAAAAAAAGGGTTAGTTGGTATATCAGGCCTTCTCCGCTGCTGTTACCATGATGCTCGAGTGATTCCAGGGTGTGCATGGTAGGCTCCTCTATGTCCTGCCTCTTCACATGCAGCTGGGTATGGACTGGAGACTACAATCAAGTCTGCCAACAAGGATACTTCCTGGGGCTCTGCCTCAGACACCTGCCACAGCCTGGAACTTTCCAGAAAGCACTGTTGGGGTAACCTGCATCCTCCTTTCAAGAGACAGCGACAGGTCTACACAAAGATGTCCCCATGCAGAGGAGAAGCCTTGGAATCCAGCTGTCATCAACGTGACATCACCATGTGCCAGCTGCTTCAAAGCCCGGCACCCGGTTATATGAAGCCAAAGCTGGTGTAAGGATGCCTCACTCAAATCTGGTCCACAGAGATGTCTAGTTTCTTTTTCACCTAAGAATTCTCACCCATGGTGTTGGCCTCTATTCAAAGCACCTTCTAGTTGAAGGAGTCCACAGGAAGACCCCCTTTGTTCTTGTACCCTGCTTTGCGTAAATAGCATGTGAGTCTTGAGTTATTTGGAGGTTTTAAACAAATTCGGGAAGTCAATGTGGGCCACTGACCATTCAGGACCACTTTCAGTTTTTCCCCAAGAAGAAGGCAAGTGAGATCCAATGCACCCTGGGTAAGAATCAAGACTTTCTAGAACGTTCATACCAGCTCAGTAGGAAATGGTCACCTTTCCCAAGAAGTAGGTTGCGTGGAAAGAGGACACATGGGCCCTGGGCCCCGAGCCAGGAGTTTGATGAGGCCTTTTGCCTGGTAAACTACAGCAAGTATTCAACCTCAGGGGGGAAAATGGGATTAATAGCATGTGTGGGCACAAGTGGGTTAAGAGCTCCTAATACCAGGCATGGATCAAAAATGATCATATTGTTCCTGTGTGCTTATTCTGAGCATCCCAATGTCCATTTTCCTGTGACCTCTTTCTCTGGCAGCAGAGCCCTGATTTCAGACATGACTTCCACAGTTAGGGTACTTTTTAATGTCTGGTTCATGTGTTAAGGACTATGACCATGACAGACAGAAGTTGGAGGACCAGAATATATCAAGTACTTTCTTTGGAATTAACCCTATCCCCTCCCCCCAAAAAACCTGTTCAATACAAAGCTCAAGGGAAAATCTTTAGCCCCCAATTTCGTATGACCCTCATAAAAAAAAAAAAAGGACACCCGAGTACCATGATTGTATTATTAGAAAGGCAGGAAGTTGAATATCAAAGAAGCAAACTGGGTCTTAGGTCTTCCCTCTAGGCAGAGAGAGCTGGCTCGAGAAGATTTACTGGCAGACCACACGCCATTCCTGAATTTGAGCAAATAAGCTCATCTTTAGGAAATAGAACGTGGGTGTTGACTGCACTGGTCTCTGTCCATCGAGGAAGGAGTATGAATTCAGTTACCCAACAGTTGCCAGATCCAAAATGCTCTGAGAAAAAGGAAGTTGAAAACACACCATCACAGCCTCCGGAGCCAGTGGGTGGCTTCTTAGGGAGACTGTGGAACAAGAACCGTGCTGGGCCTTGGAGTAGAGGGGCGTTCTCCACTAAGTAAAAGCCAGCCGCACCCCAGCATCATCCTCCCCAACCCTGCCGTGAGCTCCAGCCCTTCGGGATGAAGGGATGAAGGCTGGAAAAAGCTGCTCAGCAGAGGAAGACCTATTTCTAAGTAGACTCAAGGAAACCCTTCAAATCCAGACAGATCTACTGTCACCACCCATTTTACATCTCACACCAGGAAAGAAAAGTGTGGCCAAATCCAGCCTGGCCAAGATACCACAGTCCACAAACAGAGCCAAGAAAACAGCTTTGACAATTAGTCCCTAGAAATGCTCAAATCTCCACAAGTTTGCCTTTGTTTTTCTTTGTAACAGAGTCCTAGAATCCTCCAGAGTCTAGAAACTGCCAAAGAAAAGCAACTATTCAAAGCACCTAGTTGTGGAAATCAAGGGTATCAAACAGCTCGCTCAGTGGATACACGGAGGAGAAGTTCTCTCACAAGTTACAGATCCACCTTGGCTAGAGATCCTCAGGCAGAGGCAAAACCTGCCTTTCCACCTCAGTCAGCTGGCCTCCATCATAGCCACCTCAGGAACACAACCTCCCCGGCACTGAGTTGAAAAGAGGTCAGGGAGTCCGTGAGGACCCACGTTCACTCACTTGTCTTCTGAGAAGCTCTTCCCAGTAATAACGTCCTTCCCCTGAGGCACATAGTTCCAGTACTCTTCCACAATCCCAATGTAGTATGTTCTGGTGACTGCACCAACCAGCCCAAGCAGACCCAGGAACTTGAGAAGGATGCAGGAAGCCTGCTGAGACATTTGTGGATGTAACTCCGGCAGGCAGGCAGGCAGCCTGCAAGGGAGTCAACCCCCGTGATCCCTCCCCCTCACTCAGAGCGAGTTATAAATAAGGAATGGCCTGGCCTGGCCCCTCCTCCTCAGGTAGCTTGGGGTTGGGACAGAGGCTGACAACTTGTGCAAGCAGACCTCCCTTAGTGGGAGAGTTGCCTTGACGACAAACTTGCCAGCCACCCAGGAGATGCATAACTGGCTTATTCATTTACTGCCCCAGCTAAATGGGCCTGTTTCTGAGAGATTGTGGTACTGGACTCTAATATGAGCCAATTGCCTTTCCCAGGACCGGCAGGGAAACAACCTGAGCTGATGGGTTCTCCCCACCTGGCCTTTCCTCCACACCTTTTACAGCGCTTTGCAAACTGGGTAAGTGGGCTGGCCAGAGTGGACCATCAGGAAATGCTCCAAGCATGCAAAAAGGTCTGGTCTCTGTTGGGAAGGCAGAGGGGATGATGTAATGCCTTCTAGCTCGTTTTATGAGGCTATAGGAAACACTCATGTCAAAGCACAAAGCTCCCCGACAGCACCATAAAACCCACCACAGACCTGTCAGCTCACTCATCTCCCCCAAATACTCGGATCCTACTGACAAAGTTGAGGGGCTCGGCTGCCCTGGTCAACCCAGAGCTTAGACCTTACCACCCTTAAATCAACCATCTTCCTCCAAGATGCCTGACTATGTCAGAGGAGGCAGTCCCCTCCAGACTGCAGATCTTTGAATAAAAGGGTGACAGGAATGTTTCCTCATACGCTTTGAGCTGTGACCTAGAATCTCCGTGTTGAAAGAGACCTTGTCCAACTCTGGAGGAGAGCCAGTCTGAGCGTCACACAAGGATGTCCCTGAGCCAGCTGCCTTGGTGTGAAGGAACAGCCTCCAGGGCTCTGCAGCTGGGCAGACTTAGGTTTGGACCCAAGCTCCTCTGCTTGCCAACCTCATAGCATTGAGGAATCAGCTGATCGGTCCAAGACTGTCTGCGAGTCTTACCTGAGGGACTTCCCATAACTTTCAAGAGGACAGTTCCACAGAGAGCCTGCCTGCGTCCCAGCACAGCAGCCACCAGCTCATTAACACAGCTCACCAGCCACCCAAGTCCTCATTCCCATGGCACTGACAGACTTTGCAAGTGCCACCCTAGCTAACACTTGTGTGTTGCTGTCTCGGATTCAAAATCAAGTCTGCAGAATGGGGCTGGGGGCGTGCCTGGATCCCCAGCACCCAAGAGGCAGGAGAATCCAGAGCTCAAGGCCAGCTTTGGCTGCACAGATAATGTGAGGCCAGCCCGGTAACATGGAAGTATTGGGCTGCATGAGGGTAGCCAGAGTGGCTACGGCAGATGCAATTGACACAGGAAGACCCTTTGTAGAGCAGAACTTAGTCCTGCAGGGAGAAGAGTTTGTCACAAGTGATAGGATTCCTGAAAAAGTCCCTGGAAGTTTGAAACGTCTCTACCCAGGGCGATAAATGCACTGTTCAAATGCCCCAGAGAAAGGAAACTGGCACAGAAGAAACACATAATGTGATTGGTAGGGCAAGATGGGGTTATAGCGGATGTCACGAATCTGATGAGGAAGCCTGTAGTAACATCCACTTTCGTGCTGGAGGCGCTACTCGGCACAAGCAAAGCAGGAACCTTGCAATTTGTCCTCCAATGAATGGACTAACCCCATTGATGTCCCCAGTGAACACCCTGGGGTGGAGCTACAGTGGCATGAAACCATACAACTCTCTGAAATACGGCACGGCCATTTTTATCCGCTAATTGACACTGTACACAGGTATGCAATGATTTTGAGCTTGTTTGCCCCCATGTCCCTCTCACTGCCCCCGTCCTGCTGAAGTCCTTCCCAGCAAGTCTTCCTCCCCCTTTTGAGTCTAATTTCTCAGTGTGAGCCCTGGATTGAATTGGGTTGCTTACATGAGCATGAATAGTAGGTCCTTTACAGGGGCATGGGAACCTGTGCTGCACCGTTGAAGAAAACGACCTCCCTGTAGACACTGGTAGCATGGCAAAATCAAGCATGTGTGAATGAATCAATATTGGGTGCTTACAGAAACACAAGCGCATGCTATTCAGCAATCTCTGTACCGAGCCTTTCATATGAGCCAGCCGGGATAACAAACAGAAACACTCGAAACGGATTTAACAGGGAACATCCATGGACCTGCAAAGTGTGTGATGTGAATGCCGTGACAGGACACACATCTTCCCCCCCTCCTTCTGTTTGCTCCCGTGGTGTTGGGGATTGAACCTTATTCGTGCTAAGCATATGCTCTCCAGGCATCTAAGGGGATCCCTTCAAATAATAAAAGCGAGGAGAATCACAGAAATTACTTTGAACCCACAAGCAAGACTTCATCCCGAGGTATGTGAAATGAAGTCACGTGTACCAACCCTAGAAAAATTAATTCTGTAGGAACAGACACATGCAGTTTGCCTGATAACAATGATCAGATGACAGGAGACTCCCAGGATGTCAACCAAGCAGGAAGAGTTCTTCTGCCTGGCGGGCGCCATCTCTGATGTGATGTTACTGCTTGCTCCCAGGGTGGGGTGGCCTGGCCTTGGCTTCTGTTTAACCCAGTTGCTCTGCTATGTGTGAGTGTGGTAGTCTGGGGTATGGACTCATATTTGAAATATGGCTCCGCTTTTTTTCTGTGTCTACGACCTTATAAGTGGTTATCCACCTCCCTCAGGTTTAGTGTGCAATATCCCTCACGGGGCATTAAGTTTGCACAGTGTCTTAGTTACTTTTCTGTTGCTGTGACAGCATACCCTGACCAGGCCAACTTGTAAAAGAAAGCATTTAATTTGGGGCTCATGGTTACAGAGGGTCAGAGTCCATGACCATCATGGTGGGGAGCCAACAACAGGAAACACTAGCTGAGAGCTTACATCTGATCCATAATCACAAGGGGGAGGGGGGGAAGGGAGAGGCAGGGGGAGAGAGACAGGGAGGGGGAGAGAGAGACAGGGAGAGGGGGGAGAGAGAGGCAGGGAGAGAGACAGGGAAAGAGACAGGGAGAGGGGGAGAGAGAGGCAGGGGGAGAGACAGGGAGAGAGAGAGACAGGGGGAGAGAGGGGGGAGAGAGAGACGGGGAGAGAGACAGGGAAAGAAACAGGGGGGAGAGAGAGGCAGGGAGAGAGACAGGGAGAGAGACAGGGAGAGGGGGAAGAGAGACAGGGAGAGAGACAGGGAGAGGGGGGGAGAGAGGCAGGGAGAGAGACTGAATGCGGGAATGCTGTGGACCCACCCTCCTTTGACACATCTTCTCTAAAAAAGCCATACATACTAATCCTTTCCAAATAGTTCCATCCACTGGAGACCAAATATCCAAACATAGGAGCCCTCGGGGACTCTCATTCAAACCACCATAGACCGGATAAAAGAGAGAAGGCAAGTCAGGTGGAGTGACTTGTCTCTTGCCTTTTCCTGATAGCATCCTACAAGAAGCTCAGCTCAAAGGAGAACCGGCCACTGCTGGCTGCAGCCCAGCTGACACCCCAGAAGAAGTCCTCTAAAGCTGGGGTGTGGCTCTGGTTTCAGGCAAATATTCATGAGCCTCACTCCATAGTCTCTGGCCTTTGTTTGTCTCTCTAGAGGGATTTAAGTAACTCCATTTTGAGTCTGGCAATGCTCAAATGTGTTACCTCATTTGCTTATTATACCAACCACCCTTAGAGTGAGAACCATTTTTGTCTTTGTCTGACAGGTGGGGATGCTGAGGCTTAGAATGGCCAGGTGATTTTCTCACCCCCTTTAGTCTCCAAAGACCACCTTCCTACAAAGATGCCCAGTAGAGAGAAGAGCAGGATAACAGAATACCCATGGGTGCTTGTTTCACGCACGCCAAGGAAAACTGGGCTCAGGGTCTCCACACACCTAGGTGCCAGAGAAGGACCCCAAAACTGCCTCTTGAGTGCAGCCCATCCATTCCTGACATCCAAATAAAACCCTAAGGGTCAAGAAACCCATAAACTCTCAAACATACCATTCTGTTCCATTCCCCCCTTTTACTCCCAGCCCCCCCTCCACCCACCCCACCCTCCACCCCCAGGAAATTCCTTCCTATCCTCTCCAATCCTCCCAGATGCTTCCTCAACTTCCTGGCACACCCCACGCCAGCCTCCTCCACCAGCTTTAATCACCTCTGGCTTCCTATGCGGTGGGCAGGCTGGCCCTGCTCACCCTGTCTATCATCTTAATGCCTTAAGCATCACTCTCCCTGACACACTGACATCTCCTTGGAAACGGCATCTCACCAGCCTTCTGGTGCTGCTCTCCTACACAGGAGGTCTCAGGGGCCACCAGCTTGCCCCTGCCAGCCCCTGGTCCTGGTGGCTGGAGTCTTGCTCTTAACTAGAATCTCATTCCCCCCCATACACACACACACACACACACACACACACACACACACACACACACCTGGAAAGTGCCTGAGCATGAAGAAGTGGCCCAGGCCCCTGGTCTGTAGCACACTTACATGTTATAGGATGGAATAAAACATGTAGAAGTCTCTCTTCTGGAAATCTCAACCTATTAACATCATTTTAAAAAAAAATCCATGCCTTTAATCCCAGCACTTGGGAAGCAAAGGCTGGTGACTTTCTATGAGTTGAGGCCATCCTGGTCTACATGAGTTCCAGAGCAGCCAGAGCTATGTAGAAACACCCTGTCTCAAACAAACAAACAAGACCCAAAAGATACATAGACACATAAACAAATGGGATACAAATGTAGACATGATGAGAGTAAAGAGCAGACGATGGTTGTGAGGCTCAGTGGCCAGAAGAGGGAGGGCCTGCTGTTGGGGTTTCAAGACTCATCTCCAGAGCTAGAGCCACGGCCCGTGCAGCAGTGACCAGCACTTGCTGCCCTTGCAGGGGACCTGGGCTTGGTCCCCAGCACCCACAGCTGTTCACATCCACCCGGGAAACTGATTCCCCTTTGCTGGCTCCTGGGGC